ACTCTCTTTCGACTCGTGAGGCCGCCGTCACGCGTCGCTATCGTGACGTCCAGCGTTTATAACGCGACGTAATGAAGTATAATCATGTAATGATGCGCGATTTGGTAATTGCGTAAATTCGCGCCTGCCCGCTAAAGAAAGGCTCATCCGTATAATCCGCCCTCGATACGATCTCCAATTACCGTTATAGAGACCGTAACCCTTCTCCTTTCCATCCGAGGGATTTTTCACCTAGATCTCTCGCAATCTTTTCCCCCGAGGATCCCTCGACTGAATCCCGCTCGTTATTATGAAACGAACTGTTCATTAACACGCTGAAATCGCGGGATGGTTTTATAATAGACCCGGTTGTTTCGCGCGACGGCGATTATAACGCGCGCTCTGACGCGCCACGTAAATGCGCTTTGTGATTTTGCAATGTGACTAAACACTGACAGGCCCGAAGCTGTAATTAATCCGTACGAACGGTCATAATCGCGCCGTATGCATATAATACAAGTGATCTCCTAAGCATGCGCGTTCTTTACTTGAACTAATCACGGGTGGAATTGACACCAATAGAGAAAGACGCACGATGTATCGGAGTAAAGTATACATGAAAAATATAACATAAGAAGTACCACAATATTTTGTAATGCTGAACCATACCAGAATTATGACTGAAATTATGATGTATGTTGTAATCTTTGCTGATGTATTTCATATGTACACATCACGAAAGATTACAATATACATCATAATTTCAGCCATAATTTCAGTATTCAGTCCAGAACAATTATAAAATTTTCTGGTAATTTCTACTACAATATTTTTCTTCGTGTACCTGCTCGCTGGAAAATTCACCGAGATTAATTTGCACAAAAAATTACCAATCTCCAAATTTATTCGCTTTACCCTTTTTCTCGCTAATAACTATAATACACCTAAAATTTTAGTTAAAAATTTCGCGAGATAATCTACTTTTTTTCCGCGTGTTTGACTTCGCACACTTCTCGAGAAAAGATGCCGAGTACTTTTCAGCTCTCAGAATCACGTTCGTGATATTCATCGCAGGGATCGAGCGGCGACGCCATCGCGCTCGGTAGAATTACCTCCGTCGAATGTTAATAACGACGGGATTCTACCGTGATGTGAACGATCACGTCTGTCCCGGATAGATGCCATAACTCTCCGGACGTGACGGCGAATAAGTGATTATAAACGCGTGCGGGGGTTAGTCCACGGGATCGGCTCCACTGTAATCTCCTCTCGTCGTCGTCGTCGTCGTCGAAACTGTTCTTCTCGAGCCGCAGCTCAGATCGCCATCGTGGATTTCCTCTTTCTTCGCGTCGCGTTGCATCGCTGTGTGTGCATCTGCGCCCACCGACATACATATGTCTTCGGTTATTCCCGCGGTCGTGCCTATCAGGACCGCCCACTGAGGGATTCAACGATTAGAGACGCGCGCTCGCGCGCTTCTCGTTCGACGATATCGGCGGGAACGAGCAGGGAATTCCTCTCCTCTCTTTCAAATCTCTCTCTATCTCTCTCTCTTTCTTACTCTGACGATGAGACCCAGCGCTTATTATTGCCAATCACTTTTGTTCCCGCGAGGATCTCAGAAACCGGCGAGCAAACGAGCGAGCGAGCTAGTCAGCGAGATCTCGCTTGCTCGCTCGCTCGTACACGAAATAAAAATCGTCCATGGCGTGTTCGTTAATTAACACGTTGCGCCGAGAGCGCATCGGTTAATTATGACGGGTTAACGCGGCCTTTCGAAATGAACGCTCTTTTATCGCAATTAAATACGTTAATTAATCGACCTCCGTTATCCCCCGGATGGCGCAACCCGCGCCTATTTACGAGGCACATTTGGTCGTAAGTTCAGATCAGAATGAACGAAGTGCATCGGTATAAAATATACACGCGTGATAATAATCGATTATTATGGTTATTACGCTTTTGCGCGGACTTTTTATTACAGTGAAAGAATTTCACGAGCGGGATGCCTACGAGGAGAATACGAGCGCGCGAACGCGCCCGCTCGTGCGTCTTCTCGAGGCGCGATCGTTCGAGGGTTGAACGTAGCAATGCAATGCTGTCGCGTATTACTGATTCATTTAATCGCTAACTACGCGGAGGGAATATTATACAGCAATTTTTTCATATAAATTCTCTTCAATTTTACCATGTTTTCATTACAGTGAAAGAAAAAAGTGCTACATTCAAATAAATATTTGCTAATGAGAATTGGAATAATTTAATCATTCATTTAATTATTAATTATTTATTACTCGGATTAAGTAAATTTATCACTCGGATTAAGTAAATATTACTGGAATATAGCACTGTTTTTCTTTCAGTGTAGTAATGCAAGGATAAATTGCCATTGGACTTCATCTTGCTATAGTAGAGACGCGGTAAATTTTGTAATGGTAGATCTCAGTTTCTAAAATACAAATAGATAGAGACAAAAGGGGAATAAACCAAGGCAGAATGTCGATGTATTCGGTTACAAGATTCCATAGCAACTTCTGTTGTAAAATAATTTTTTTATACTTTTGATCGGCGCGCTCATATTTGCTCGCTTGCACCGATCTCCGGGGAGAGCGGCTCTATTATTAAATTATCGGCCTCATCGGCGATTAATTTCGGTGTAGTTTGCACTTCGCGCCGCACGTTACCGGTAATAAGATCGAGATAGCCGGCGGGATAAGAATCTCAATGGATGATTTCCCAGCTTCGCGTGTCCGTCGTAAGACATCGTACGGGAAACGAGGGGGATTATCGAGCCTCCTCATCTAAGTTTTCTACGCAACGTCGCCGATGCGGACGCTGTCGTGGCAGGACGCGGAAAATCGTTGCTCGCTGTATCAACGGATACAATTGTGATATTTCCATGGAAATATATACCGTGAAATTGAAACGAAGCCGCGATATCGGCGACTGAGGGGAGACCTGGAAGGAATTTTCTTACGTCGCGTCGAAAAAATCGCATCTTAATTGTCGAATCGATGTCAATCAATGTTGATTGCGCTCTTCACGCGAGGACAATAAACGGTGGCCGTCGGTGACATAAGTGCACGGAAAGAAAAGATTAATTTCGGTAATTAAATAAGTTAATAACATACAAAAACCTAACGCCTTTAGCAACGTGAGCAATTTTACTGCAATAGCAAACTTTTTTGGTGCTACAGCAAGACTATTGAAGCTTTAGGTGTCCATATGTTACAACTAATTTGCTATTGCAGCTAATCTTCTTTTCCGTGTGATATCATTGCGATTAATTACGCCACTTCCGTTATCAGGAATCGCGAAGAGCGATAGGTGTGAACGTCCATCACGGCAAGAGATCCTCCTATTTTTCCCTCGCTGATATTTTTATTCCGTTCCATTTTTTTCCGCTGTTATTTACTCCTCTTAACGAGGATTATGGAGAGGCCATTATCTCGATCTGCAATTTTCTCTTCCGGAATCTTCTTAAATATAGAAGACTTTACAAGCGAAACACACGCGATATGAGTTCCTCGGTGTGGTTTCTATTCGCAACTTACCGGACCGGTCGCAAAATAACGGCCGCTACATAATCGCGGAATAATTCATAGAGCGCAGAATGTTCCAGCCTTGATAGCGATTTCTGGCGATAATGAATTTCGCTGTAATCGTCCCGCCACTATTAATATTTATCGCAGCCGCCTACGTGCTCTCCGTCGCGGATCTCTCTCGCTTGCTCGCGTTCCTCCGTGATCCCCCGGTCGCGAGGAAATCGCGTCGACCCCCCGAAGACGACGCCTCCGACGTTGTCGCGGCTCTGTCGCGGCCGAAAATAACGTAACGGCGCGTCAGGCCGGAGTTTTGTTTCCAGCGCGGATCGCGCGGAGAAGGTCGCCTCTTTCATCTGATCGCAGCATCTATTTCCACGACTATTTCTACTCCTCCACAAATAGAAACCTGGACCATCCGCTGGTCTCGCACAAGTGTCGCCGAAATGACCAAACCGGTGGCTGCGGCGGCAGCGTGTAGCATGGTTACATCGTCTACACGGTTGCGCAAGAATAAATAAATGCCAGGGCCTCTCAGAAATGTGTCTGGCGCTCGCCCACGAGAGGATATCCGTCGTAAAATATCTAGGCGCGTCGTCTCTACGGAATTTACGAAACGTAGTCGTGGCGCCGCGCCACGTGCGATCTAGAAAGGTAGGAATTCGTGAATTGTAAGAAACAGCGGCGCGTTCGCGCGAGAGACGCGACGGAGCGACGGTGCGAAAGCGAATTGGAACCGTGCGACTCCTCCGGACTCTTCCGGTCATGAGAATCATTCGGACGCGATTATCTGACGCTCAAACGCACTCTGCCGACTTCGAGATGTCGCGAGGCTATTCGTCTCCCGTTGCGTCTCTCGTTTCTGCGAGAGTTTAAAGCAGCAGCGAAATAAGTACAAGCGTCTAAAATATCGCGTATCTTTTCACACCGAGAGAAATTTCAGTTGTTTCCTCGACGTCCACTATATCCTTTTTATGGTTTCAACCACAAAAGTAGTAGTAGCGGTATGCATGAAAAAAGGATTTAGTAACAATGATTAGAATTTGGTTGAATAGTTTCAACTAAATGGCTTGGTTACATCAACCAAATCATTTAGTATCATATATTGTATATAATATATGGTACTATAGTACAGTATATGACTAAACTATACTTATACTTGGTTGCAGTAACAAACAATTTGAAACTATTTCACGATAATTGTCATCAAATCCTTTTTTCAGTGTAAGATTATTACCGCCGACACTGTAGTAACACTTACTGGCGAAAGGTAAATAATTCTTTCATTGCGACGATTATAGTTACAAGTGCCAGATATTTCTCTTGTTATCGCGGGCGAGCTGAGAAATAATGTATCCGACAAATCATCTTCTCTCGTATTTTTTCTAAGAAATATTTGTATTTATATTAAGAAACCTATATTTATACACGTGGCTTGAGAGGTATTCGCATTGTCCATGAAATGTAGCTAGTCGTTGTCTATTGCTGGTACTCGGGTTGCGGGTGGGCTAACACGTACTCGACGGCCCTCTGGATCTGTTCGGGTACGGCGGGACCGACCGGCAGGTGATCGCCTTGAGCGCGGAAACCGTTCTCGTCGGCGACATAGCTGACGGCGATGGGGGTGCCGTCGGGGGCGGTGTACTGGTATTGACCTTGGGCGACCACTGCGGGTTCACCTTTGGGTCCTACGGGCTGCGGCGAGCCCGACTCGGAAGCGGCGATGCCGTTCTCGGTCTCATACTGGTAGCTGTAGGTTCCCTCGGGCGAGAGGTCCTGCGCCTGCCTCAGGATGGCCAGAGGCGGCTGGCGCTGTTGGGCCACCACGACGGCGACCAGAGCAAGGGATACGATCTGAAAAGAGAATCGATGTGACGAATGGCCCACTAAAATTATTGTTATTCTTGGCTTAAACTGTATCTTCGGGTTTTAACCCAGGAATATAGTAATCACAATATGTAAGATTATTATCACTGACATTATAGGAACACTTAGTAGAAAAATAATTCTCCTGATTATAACTATTTCACTTATGCGACTGTCGGGTGTGCAAAAGTTTTTCCCGTTTTTTTCATCAGTTCTTTGCTCAGAATTCTCGAAAACTCCCTTTCTACGCCCGCGGGATCGTGCAGCTAGCGGAGAGATGACTTCGGACGAAATAGCACATAATTGATTGCTTATATTTAAAAATAAATAAATATTATATGAACATTTTGATTAAAAAACGGAGCGAACTTTCGCATCAACCCGATAGTTACAAATGCCAAAAATGTTTTTCTCAGTGTTCGCAACCGTCGTGAAATTTAACGTTTATTCTGAGAATTACTCCGTGATGTTTAATGAAATGTAAAATTTTCAATGTAATACGATGCAAAATTTTTAAATTTTCAATTTTGCAGTCAAAATTTTTGTTCATTCAAAAAGGCACGTCGGCTTATCGATCGAAGACAAGCGAAAGAGATCTGAGATGTCGATCAAACGACGTTACGTCATTTAAAAAAGCTACAGGGCTATTTTATAAACTTACAGCGACGATTATATAAAATCAATCATATAACCAGTCGGAAAGTACGGAAGGCAAAAAAAGTCGTTACTTTGCGCTCAACATAGCGCTGCGAAAAAAAAAGATTACATGTCTCGCGGCGAATCCGTGTAAAAGATCAGATATCAACGATGTGTTAAATAATCCCGAGATAAGCGAGCTAATACGAATGACGATTAATTACAGGTTCGCCGTTTCCTAACACGAGCCTCCCCATTAATTCGTTGCGTTCGATCTATTATTACAGTTAATTCCATTCTTCTGTCGATAAATTAGCCAGACGTTAATTAGTTTACAGGATCGTAACAAGCTATTGTTCGCAACGATCGGTAGAGATCAAAAAGACCGGGAAAATCCGAGGAAATATTATCGCGAGTGGACGTTCGTGCATTCGCGACGGAACATGACAGATGAAAAGTTTCATGAAGGTTAATTGAAAATCAGTTGAAGTTACGAAGACTTGGCGAGCGTTAAAATGTAAAATGTTAAAATTCTTTCAAGCAACAGATAAAGAAAAGCATGTTAAAATGTTAAAATTCTTAAAATGTTAAAAATGTTAAAATTCTCTCAAGCAACAGAAAAGAGCCGATTAAACGCTTTCGTTCACGAGCCGATATTAATCGGGTGTTAACTCGACGGATGAGCCGACCGTGCAAATTAACCGAACCGAAGATTAAACTGAAGAAATATAGATGAAGAACTCACGAGGAATTTCATTTTGCTGAATGCGAGTGTGTTTCGAACCTCCCGGTCCAATAGAGCGTGATGAGATTTCGAATGTGATCGTCACAAGGTTCGAATGCGCTTTTATACGAAACCGTAGACCCCACTTTCCCTGATCCAGCAATGGTGCTTGGAAAAAAAAAGGAGAAAAAGCGCGGCTTCGGGAGGAAGGACAGAGAGAAAGAGGAAGAGAGTAGGGGGAATAGTGTCTTCCACCAAAATTCGTCTTGACCTTTCGCGACGCCTAAATTGACCGCTTGCATAATTCCCCGAGAAACCCGTGGCACTGCATCGCTCGCCCGCGACGTCCTCAAGAGTTCATCATGCACGCGACATGCACGATGCATTCGTCGTCGAAGCATCTTTCCCCTCCCCTCCTCTCCGGTAACGTCCCGAACAGTTCGAGAAGTCCACGGCGCGTGGACGTTGTTTCAAATATTCGAAAATTCTCCTGAATTCTCAATCGCAGAGTTCCAACGCTTCGGAAGGAGACCTCGCTGATTCTTTTCTAAAACGAGAGATCAATCACGTTCAAACCGTCGTTCAATTTCGATCAATCGTTCCCGTTGAAACGCATCGTATGTGTTGTTCGGCTGCTCGTTACATAATTCTGAAAAATTCCTGGAAAGATCGCTCCGTACGAGGAACCCGTTTTGCGAAACAAACGCACGCCGCATGATCGCGTGTAGTACTCTTCGTTACCATCTCGATAAACGTTAGACACGTTATATTACTCTGGCAAATGGGTAGGAAACGCGCTCCGCTGCCCCACGATTTACGAGTAGCCTAGGCTGCCTCGCGAATCTACCGCTGTTTCGTTTTTGTAGAACCGTCCTCGCCGCCGAGGCGCAACGAAACGTTCGCTGGGATAAAAATGTAGATATTTTAAACAATAGGTAAGATTTACCGTACGGTATCCGAATCGTCGGCAATTGTGCGAGTTAAATGAATGAATTAATGCGTAGGATCGATATATTGGAGGTTCTTTCGAAATAGAACCGTTAAGGAGGAATCGATTGCGAGTCGAGCCGAGAGAGCTCGAAACGAGCCAAGTGTCCATAATCCTGGAAGTCTATTCACATAATAATGGACAGTTGCAAAAGTGACAACGTAGAGGCGGCGAAATTAATGTCGACATGTCCGAGCCGTAAAATTGCAATCGAAGATGATTAATCGCGAGGTGGAGACACCGCAACGGAAGCTGCCGGAGACTTCAACGCCCGATCGTGCTTTCTCTCCCTCTGTGTCCCTCTCTTTGCCAGCGCGTTCGATCGCGGCTCCTCCCGCTATTTAAATGTTTTCTAGCGAAACTCGCATAAACAAGATTGCGTCAATGTCTAAAGCGAACATCGTGACTCGAACGCAAGAAAACTGTTTTGAAGAGTCACACACACAATTAGAAACATTAATATTTTATTTAAAACTGTTACATATACAATGTGAGTGAACAAAAAGAGAAGGTATTTACAATAGAGAAGGTATTACAATATGTAAATAAAATTGATAATAAAATAAGTAAAAGAAATTAATAATAAATGAATAATAAATGAACAATATTGATATTTAATAGAACTTATAAAACAGTCGTATTTCGTCTCTTATAGGCTATTTAACTATTTTTTCTCTGGTTAGACCAAAAGCGGAGCTATTTCAAATATTAAATAAAATTAAATTTACAGTGACAAGTTCCGTTAAAATATAAAAAATATACATTCGTATACGAGGATATACAAACACACATTCATGATCAAAGATAATTGTACTAAATAATAATTGTACTGAATAATTTAATTGCTGAAATATTTCTTTCCTCTTCTTCTGCACATTGAACGAGTTTTCGCAGGCCTATTTGGAATTATGTCCACCGTGTCGATAATTCGTACACGTACGGGAGAAAAGATACGAAGTTCGTCCGCACGAGCCGCGCGTTACGACATCGACCTTGCCTGAGAACGAGTGTGTCTCACTTGGACGCGAAAGGCCGCGGCGATTTTTTTTCCTCCTCTTTTTCCCCTCAACGCGAAAATAAGAGACGGATTTCTCACAGCGCTCAAGAAGAATTATTGCGACTCCAACCCGCTTTTCGCGCCCGTTTTTCCAAGACGAGAGACACGGCCGACGGTCTCTCCAGCTCGACGAGCGTGAGCGAGAAGGACGACGCGTCGTCGCCGCGGGGACGAGGTTAACGCGGTCGAAATCTTTGTTCTTCCTGTGGCGATACTATGCGCCGCCGTCACCGCGTTATGTCACCGCCGGTAGCCATTACTCAGGCAAGCCGTTTTCTGAATGACGCGGCCCGGCTGTTCTCAGCGTCAGGATTTTCTGAATGAAATCCAGATTCTGTGCGATGTAGCAACAATTAAATTTATCATACCCTTAACGCCAATTGTTAGCGCACGTGCGGATCGCCGATATCTTTCTTGGAAATTAATCGATATAATCTTGCGAAATGTCACATGCTTAGGCCCGTACTCGTTACTTGAAATTTATCTCAAGTGAGATTCTCAGATTCTAACTTAGAGTTAGTTGTAAGTTAGTTGTAAGTTTTTTCAGCTGTATTGAAAAATTACAAAAACGTAATGTTGCATATATATATATTGTATGATTCAAATAAAAATATAACTCTAAATTCAGATCTGAGTATCTCACTTGGGACAAATTTTAAGTAACGATTATCAATACGGATCTAAATTCGAATCTGAATATCTCACTTGAGGCAAGTTTTAAATAACGACTATGAATACGAACCTTGGTATAATCGATTATTAAATAAATATTCTGATTGCGTTCAACATCGGCATTCCTACAACGCGGGCCTCAATTGCTACCCCGAGTGCGCGAGAATTATTGCTCCGCAATGTTTTGCAAACAGCAAGTAGTCTATATATCCGACAACTCTGTGAGAGAATACATATAATTAATCCTCTCTTTCTCAGTAGAACGACGCGAACGGTACGAACGGTACGTCCACCATGAATGCCGTTGTGACGGCTTAATTACGCACGATGACAGATTGCTACAATGTCGGGACACCTTGAATCAATCTCCAAGCATCTCTGTGAGCTACCGTGTGGTACGCTTGTACCTCATTTCCGAGGGAACAAAGCGATGCCAATCAATGTCCGCGTCTCGAGTGTTTACCGGCTCTCCCGGCGGTAAGTCGCGCCGACGAAAGCGACGCCGAGCGATTGAAATTTGCCACATCGTTCCCGTCGCGCTTGTGTACAGCTCGTGACGTTACGTAACCGTCGTGTGGAGAAGAGTTTCTACCAGTGTGTCCGGGGCACACTCTCTTTGCTCAGTTATGCAGAATGCATAATTTCATCGGGCGAATTTCTTAATTATATTAATGCCGACGCGCGCTCTCCCCGTAAAAATCTCGAATAGATTCACGACCGATCGCTTATCGCTCGAGTCGTCGACTGCAGGAATTGTGGGAATAAAAAATTCGCATAAGAATATTATGCCCCGCTCTTCGAGAATCAACCTCGTCTGCTCTCCCGCGTGAGAGAGCCTTGAACATTAAATACTGTCATTGGCATAACTGCCGGATAATGCTAAGCATCCATAAAAAAGGTGAAATGGTCGTCGTCGCGTGATCCTCAATGTCGCGAAAATTATTCGCACAGGAATAAAATGCCTTCTTGTGTCGGGGAGTTATGAAGATCGATGCGCATAGGCGATTTACAGGGCCAATTGCAGTCGCGCTTACTTCTGTGAAGTTGGCCCCATTTCCTCAAAATTTGAAAAAATGAGCGAAATTCTGTTTGTCTCCCAAAGTTCCCTACCCCCTTCACCCCTATATTTTCTTATGGTGTTTCGACCGTTTTAGTCGAAGGAACTCTTATTAAAATAGATTAAGAACTTGAAAACTCTTTGAATAAACATAACTCTTTGATAAACAGAACTCTCTCTTTTTTTCTCAAATTTCGAGAAAAGTGGAGCCAATTTTACAGAGGTGTCGCAATTGCTCCTTTGCTTTCGTACTTGGCCATCATTCGCGCGGTTCTGGTATCTGCCGTCCGTTCTCCGTCGCGTACTGTTGATATCATCATACATCGTTTGAATAAAACTCGAGTGAAACTTGTCCCAATTACTCGTATAAAAAATTTCTTGGGATCTAATTGAGATCCCAGTCCGGTTTTATAAATTAATGACAGATTCTAGTTGGGAAATTTACCCGGATTCTAGTTAGAAATGTAATATTTCAAACATACGATGCTAAGGGAGCGCGTAAACAGATTCTATTTGATTATCTCCAACGTTTTCCAAAAGATTATTTCTATTTTATACTACGATTGAACGGAATATACGAAACTTTAAGTATTCACACTTTACAAGTACATACACACGCTCTATTAAACATAGTGTTTATTAACCCCCTAATCAGATATTCTAATCTCAGAATTTATACTGTATATGGAAGAGTCTCGGAAGATTTCTGTGCGGATACAGAAACGCTCACTCTCACTTTCGATAGATGTACCAAGCGTTTGAAAAAAAAACTACTCGCCAGCCGACGACTCGCCAGTTGACGCCCATGACGTAGGCAATTAAGTTATTCGCGTTACGATGCTGTGCTGAGTGGTTTCGGGCATTTATAAAAAGGTGAAATGATCGTGCCGCCGCTAATGCTCCCGACGGCAGACGTCAACCTTTAGAAAAAAATTTGTGAATGACTGACTCTATCGTGCCTGGCCTAACTGCCTGCCTGTCTCTATCCATATAACGAGACGCTACATTCCGCTCCGTCCGTTTCGTGCGCGGATTCCTACCTGGCGAAGACAAATCTTCCCGGATTTTTATTGGCACGCGCTAACCTTGTGCACCTCGTTGTCATCGTGGTCTCTTCTTGACCGGGTCCCCCGAAGGCCGAAATAGACTGAGTTACGGCACGATCCGCCACGTGATCTTCGCATGGTCCAATGCATAATAATTTGTTCATTGTGATGTTTCTGTAAAATATAAATTTTGCGCAACACAACAGCGCGAGT